CGTCCCATAAACTAGATGTAACAATACCCTACCATTCCCAGCTGTTGTGAGGACTGAATAAGATAACACTTGCGAAAACAGCAATCAGAGGAGCAATCCAACAAATGCTTCTCGTCTCTACCCTTAACTTCAAGGCTGGCTACTCATAACAGGTTAGATATTTTTTTCTTTTCTATAGTAACCTCTAATTCTGTTTGGCCTGTGTTTTGAGAATATTAACTCAACTTCCTCCAAGAGACTCCATACTCAGTGGTTGATTTTAGACAAGAACCAAGAAAAAGCTTGACTTTCAAGAAGAAAGGTTTTATTTTGAGTCTATTGATGGACACTGATGAACAGACAGATGTGCGGTCATAAGAAGGTCCTTGGGATGGCATTTGGCACAGTGTAGTAAGCCACTGATTGGGACGTCTGCACTCCGTATTGGAGTGCCTGGTTTGAGTCCTGGTTACTCCAGTCAGAACCCAGCTTCCTGCAAATGCACACCTGGGAGCCAGCAGAAGGTGCATCAACTTCTTGGATCCTTATCAATCATGTGGGAGAACTGGATGCAGTTCCAGGCTCCTGGCTTCCGCCTGGCCCAGTCTCAACTTGTGTATGTGGAGAGTGAGTCAGTGCATGGAAGACAGATCTCTCTCTCTGCCTTTCAAAATAAAACAAAATCTTTTTTTAAACATACATAGCTTAAGAAGGCCTTAAAATCTAAGCAGAAAAGAATAGGAATGTCACTGTGAGCAACAGGGAACATCCATAAATACTTGAGTAGAAACAATCTGAGAAACATAGTATTCTAGAAAAACTTGCCTAACAGAAGGGGGAAAAAATATGAAAGCCAGAATAATCCAGGTGTGAGGCCAGGAGGGGGTAAGTTTTAATTTGCTAAACAGTACAAATGGGAAGGATGGTATCTAAGGGCCAAAACACAAGAGGGAAAATAGCAACCCATTGGTGGCTAAGTGGCTTCCATGTGCCTGGAATGATGTATAGGACTGAGGACAAAACAATTTAAGACATAACCTTTGGTGTCTATTCCCAGAAACATGAAAACAAAGAGAGGGGCTTGCTAAGATGGAGCACAGGTGTTGGGATGCAAGTGCTGTCACAGCATCCCTAAGATCAGAAAGTGGGACACCAATCCCACACGTGTAAGTTGATGGAGGCACCCCTCATACTTTTCTTTTTTCCTGGAGAGATTATGTTACTCCAAGAAAGGAGTCACAGTACTCCTATTTTTTTAGATCCCTCAGATCATACCAGAAATAGATCATATAAGGGGCACTTACATTCAATGAACTCAATGTCATTTCTTGCTAAAAATGTTACAGTAGCCCAGGCGCTCCGTATTCTTTCGTTGTTATTTTGCAGTCCCTCCCACCTTCGCCCCATCCCTCTACAGTCACCTTTCTCCTACTCACATGTTTCCTGCTGCTCCCACAATCTGGCACACAGTTCTTGAGTCTCAGAGACTCTATCAAGTCAGAAATACCATTTTTTATACCTTCAAAAATTACCATGGATAAACAACTGGATGTTAAAACCAAGCAGCACTTAAGAAATACTAGTAATCAATGTTAGGAAACTCACATTATCTTGATATCAAAACTTGGAAAGTGCAAGGGCTCAAATTCCATGACGGACTTTCTATCCTATGTCTATGCTGTCCCTTGGTGAGTGTCCAAATGGTCCCATCTCTAAGCAGAAAACCCTCTTCTCTGCCAACCTGTCACAGAGCAGTGACTCTGAAATCAATCAAGCACAGGCTCAGCGTCGTGTTGGATTAGTGGGGGAAAAAAGGATAAATAGAAAGTAACTCTCTATCATATAATCTCATAGGTGGTTAAAATTCAACAAAGGAAAACAGGTGCTAATAAATCCATGGGCTTCCTATTGATACAGATACATGGTGGAGGATAAGATATTAGTTAAATGACCACTGGAGTTCCTCAGAACATCACTGTCTACTGCAATGACACTAGAAATAAAAGAAACACATACTGCAGCGACTCCTGAATGGATCAGAGATGGGATTCAGTGGTGTCACAAACTCTGATACAAACCAACCGGCTCAGTTCCTGCATTAAGAATGTGAACTGTTTCTGGGCTTTCTGAAATCCAATGCTATAACTAATGAGTGATCCCAGGTACAGGGAAGGGAGAGGTGACAGCAGGATGTGTACAGCTACGTTGGGCTAGTTGTGTTCAAACCACCAAAACACTGAATTCCCTTATAAATGTATGGACCATTCTCAGATAAGCCAGATAAAGTAGGAATGATAATTTTTTAAATAATCAATATATCTGACATTCCGAGATCTTAATTCCCTTTTCCCTTCTTCCAAATCATGCTATTTTCATCTCTCCCCAATGCCACATTTGAGGGATGCAAGTAGCGTTTGCAGTAGTAGATGACTGACTACTGAGTCAGGGCTGATTGTGTTAATAGAGAAAGGGATTAACACAGGGTTTTAACATTTCTTTATTGGAAAATATTACAAACAGGAATGGAGAGAAGTAGATCTGCCTACTGCTGTTTCAGTTCCTAAATGGCTGCAATGGCTGCAGCAGGGCCATCTCCATGGGTGGCATGTCTTCCACTGCCTTCCTAAAGATATTAGCAGGGGGATGGCCTGGAAATGGAGCAGGCAAGACTTAAACAGGCATTCATATTGGAATGACAATATCCCAGGCAGCAGTTCAATCCACTGTGCCTCCAGGGCAGCTCCCCAGATTTCAAATTTCATAGATGAGATCGGGAGGAAGGAGAAAGATCTCAAGGAGGAAAGAGTTTCTTAGTTTCTAATATTTTGATCTTGAGGTGCTTAGGGGTTATCCAAGTAAAGCTACCCATTTTGATAGGTAAATCTGGAGCTTGGGAGAAAAATCTGTGCCCAAGAGGAGATTCAGGAGTAACAGCTCTATTGGTGATAACTGAACCATAAAACACCAGAACTTAACTGGGATAGAGGAGGAAGTCCCATGAAAAAAAAAAAAAAAAAGGAAGAAACAGTTGGTGAGGCGCCAGGCAACCAAGAAAGCCCATGGAATGGAGATCTTAATGAAACAGTGACTAATAGCAGATTAATTCACAAAGGGGGCAGAAAAAAGTCCCATGTTTTTGGTGATGAAAAGAGACTGGGGCTGTTAGCAAGAACCATTTTGGTAGAATAGTACAAGTTCTTGCAAACTGAATAGAGGAAAGTGCTATTTTACTTTTGTTTGCAGGAGCATGAAGTATTGTGTGAATATAGCCTAAAAGACAGAGCCAGAAAAGTTAATAGTAAATGCGATTATGTCTAAGTACTTGCTCTTTCCCATTGCTGCAACTGGATAAAGGTGTGCTATTTTTTATTTACTGGCATGAATCTACCAAAGGTTGATTTCAACTGCCTCAGTGCTGAGAGAACTGACAGATTGCTCTAAGAAGAAAATAACTTAGCATCTTAGCATCTCAGGAAGGGGGAGCCTTCTAAATTCCATTCCCTTGTCTACCGTGATACATCTGTCAGGTTTTAAAACATTCATTCAGGCTCTTTGTTGATCCATTTCCTTAGCTATAGAATGGAAAAATAATTCCTTTTTAATTGGATCCTGAAGTGCTAACGGCTTTTCAGTCAGCCCAGGACTCTGCAGTGTTTAGAGACAATATCCTAGCTAAGAAATTTCCCGGCTACTTTGTCCTATGACTGAGAAAGCCACTTCTCTTTTCGCATAAAACCCACAACCCAAATGCTCAAGACGTGACTTGCTTGGGGGCAGGGGCTGTTTGGCTTGGGAACCTGAACTGTCTCCCTGTGTCTACAACATGCAAGTGCAGAACTGAACGGGTGATCCAGAGGACTCAGCTACCAGTCTGTTCATCCAGTCAACCAGAAAACTTTATAAAACTAAATTCCTGCTGCACAGGCTAGAGTTTTGTTAACTGGATCTGTGCAGAATCATTTCAATGTGTTGTTTCTTTCCTCTTGAATTTCAAGCCTCTCCCAATTTTGTGTCCCGCAGGAGCCGTCGTGAGCAGCCATATATACCCTCTCTTGTAAATAAACCCCAACTGTCTGCTGGAAATTTCCACTTGTATATTCAGCCATCTCACCAGATGCATCATGCCTAAAGTCAAGTTCATCAATCTCTCCTCGAAAACTGGCTTCTTCCCAGACCCTGCTTTCATCGTTTGGCATCATCCTCCTCATCACCCCAGCTCAGGTCTTCAACCTCACCTCTGTGCCCTCGCTCTCCCTGCTCTTCCATATCCATTCCTCAAGTCTTAGAATTTTTCCATTGAAATGCTTGTACCATCTGCCCCTTCTGATAGCTACTGCACACCTCTTACGTGCCTGACACCATGCCAAGTGCTCAGAAACCTCATCTCAAATAATCCTCCTGACAACCCTTTAAGGAGGCAGAGAGAACTTTCCCCATTCTGCAAAATTCTGCAAATGAAAACTTTGCACTTTCAGAGACTTGGGGGAATGTTAGGGCTGAATATTTATATCTCTCCCAAGTTCATACAATGAAATCTCAGAACTATATTTGAAAATGAGACTGTGACAAAGTGACAGAGGTTAAATAAAGTCATAATTATGGGTTCCTAATCCAATAGAGCTAGCCCTCTCTAGGTATGTATTGTGTCTTTCTGAATCTCAATCTCTCTCTCTCTCTCTCTCTCTCTCTCTCTCTCAATCTCTCTCTCTCTCTCTCTCTCTCTCTATCACATAAGGACATGGAAGGAAGTCGGTCAGCAGAAAAACAAGAAGAGATCCAGTTCCAGGACTGAAATCAGCTGCCTCTCTCATTCAGGTCCCCAGCAACTCACATGGAAAACTGAGTAACCTTAGCTGACCACTTGTTTCAAAGCTTTCTTGGCCTCCTCCAGTTAACCTATGTGCATCTGATTTGCTTTCCTCAGTCATCACTAGAACCAGATCATTTTCTGATCAAAGTTTTCAAACATCCCCTGCTGGCTGCAAGACTGGTTTGAACCTCTTCAACCAGAAGTCCGAGTTCTTTGTAATCTGGCACTTTCCTCCCTATCCAGTCCTAATTCCCCTCACTGCCAGTCCCGAAGGTACACTAACGTGCTTATCAAAGGACAGGGGTTGTCAGTCCCATTTCTGTACAACCAGTATTCAGCACACAGTAGGTGTTCAATTCACAGCTGTTGAATGTGTACCTAAAGGAATGGGTCATAATCTTTACCAAATTCATATACAACATGAGTCAATCCTTTCATTTGCAATAAATTCAGACTTCCTTCTATCACCTCTACATCCATTCTAGTAGATAACCATGAATTTACTTTTTAAAAATATTTATTTTTATTAGAAAGCCAGATCTACAGAGAGGAGGAGAGACAGAGAGGAAGATCTTCCATCCCATGATTTACTCCCCAAGGGGCCGCAACGGCTGGAGCTGAGCTGATCCAAAGCCAGGAGCCCAGAGCCTCTTCCAGGTTTCCCATGCAGAGTCCCAAGGCTTTGGGCCATCCTCAACTGCTTTCCCAAGCCACAAGCAGGGAGCTGGATGGGAAGTCGGGCTGCCGGGATTAGAATCGTGCCCACTTGGAATCCCGGTGTGTGCAAGGTGAGGACTTTAAATGCTGGGCTGCAGCACTGAGCCCCATGAATTTACTTTTATCCACAATCCTCCTCAAGGATTTTCTGATAAGTCTTTGAGACACCCCTATGTGGCATGCACTGACATATATCCACTTTCACGAATGCTTCTTTTGGCATTGTCATATCAAAAATTAGTAATGATCTATGGCAGAGACTGCCAATTTTCCTCCCAATGTCTTCTCTCCTTCTTCCTTAAGAAACACTCTGATGTGTACTGGATTGTCACACAGCCAGATACCTTTTTTCTTTTCTTTCTCTCTGTCTCGTGTGCAACACCTGGGACGCATTCCCAAGGAACAGCTGCATCCTCCTCATCCTTAGTCCCTCTGCCTGGAACTCAAATAGATCATTAGATCTTGAGAAGACAGCCAAGACAGGGAAAGGAGCTAGGTATCTGCCAGCATCCTGTGCTGCTGTCTCTAACCTTGCTCATTTGAAATAAACCAACAGAGTGGAACACTGCGACCTGGTGTTTTTCTCTACTGAAGCTGGCACATATACCCACTGACAAATAAGTTAGTCACTGAAATAAGTCATATTGATACGAAGGGAGTGAAACAAAAAGAATTAGATAAGTCTGTTTATCTACTTGCAAGAAAACCAAGACACCTGTGCATAATGTTTATAAATAAAATAGATTCATGTTTTTTATATATATACATATATATATAAAATGATTAACATTTTAATAACAAAAACTGATCTTTATTTCTAATATGTGCATACCCTGTCTTCTCAAAAAAACCTCTTAAACTTTTGAGGGAAAGATATAAGAGGTTTTGATTTTGTGGGTTTTTTTTTTCATGCCTACCAATCTTCCTAGCATAAATATATCTAACATTTGACTTCTAAAACCAATGCGAATTTGTCTAGCACCAACTCTGTATACAGAAACGCCAGGGGTAAATGGCGAAGTGGTAGTGAGGAGCTCACAAGATGAGATCCCTTATGCCCAACACCTTTACAATATTTTCTAATTAAACAGATTATTCCGTTTCTATTAACAGTCTTGATTAATACAGGAGAAGATTTCATACACAATTAAATATCAGCATGTTTGACTTATCACATATTCCTTTATTCTTTACCGCATTCTAAGTTTAATTTCCTTTCAATGTTAAAAAAAATTACCTATATTGAATTCTAACTGGCTTGTGGTAAGTTCAATGTTAAAAGAGACTAAAAGAGGCCAAAGGAAAACATAAAAAGGAATAAAATTGTATTTTTATATGATACATAGTTTGAGAGAGAAAAATCAATACTCACGGATACATTTTACCAGGTTTAAACTCAGCTCTTACCCTAGACATTTAGTTGTGATCTCCCAGAAGACATGATTTCTGCCAATTAGCTGTGGTGATCCGTCCTGATCTCAAACTCTTCAGCGCAAGACTTTGTTGGGGGTCCCTGGAGAGGTAACAGAGTAGAGCATAGAAATGTATTGGAAAGACCAGCTCCTGTTTATCTCATAATTATACACTTGACATTTGGAAACTCTTGCTTGTTACTAATTGCTTAATTAGGCACCCCAAAGTTCATAAAAAATCATAGGTTTAACTTCAATTTCAAAGATCCTTTCCTTCCTCTTGCTCTGAAATTCAATCCTATCTACTGTACATGCAATTACAGCCCTGATAAATGATTGCTGATGATAACAGACCTCACTTAAAGAGAAGAAATCTAAACACACAATGACCTCATTTTTTTTTAAATCTGTGTGTCCACACAAAGAAGCTGTGGAACAAATAAATCAATCATGGGGTGGGGGGGGAGGAGAATCCTAATTGTTGATTTTAGATTCCGTGAATCATTCAATAAAGCTTGCGTTGAGATTTGCATAAATAGTTTGAATGGTGGGCAACCTACAGGAAAATTGCTATTAACACAAAGGCATTTGCATCCCTCTTCTAAGAGGTTTGACAAGGATAATGCTCTTGGCTGCATATCTTCATTATTCTAAGTTGCATTAAGATCAACAGGAATTTTCTAAAACTACATTTATCTTTTAGCAAGGCACAAACTACATTTACAAATTTTGGAAGCTTACAAACACAAAGACATAAAATATCCAAAAGAATGATGTCTGGGACTGTAAACCAGAAAACACTATTTTTCCTTTTCTTATGAGCTATCAACAATATTTGGGGGAAAAATAAAGATAATTTTAATTATACAGGTATTTTTGATAATCAAGGATATCACAGAAAGGCAGACTATTATCCCAATTTCTATTTCCCCAAAATGAGTTAACTACAAATCCTGGTTTGTCACTGTTTCATTGGTCAAAAAAAAATTCTGTGGTCAAAAGAATGGAAAATATGAGGCTCACTACCACATCAGAATGATAGTCACATTAGCTTATTGCACTGTAACAGCCTACTCAGGGCTCTCAAAAGTCTGCTAGTAAAGCAACCTATGTAACATGGAACCATATCCTTATACTCCAAGTCACTTGCATTGCTTTTCCCATATGTGAACACCATGCCCTAACTTACCAACCTAGGGCCGCGTTTCCACTTTCTCACATAATCCTCAACTAAACACTATCCTGAGGACATTTACTGCAGGCTTTCCATAGTTAAAGTCTAGTTAATGGAGACAGATCAAGCAGAACATCTGTCTTGCACACCCCAAACTAAGACACACAAACTTGTTAGTGATATGTGCAGGCAAAAACCACAGGAAAGGTTTCAAGCCTGTAGATTTCATTTGGAAGTATGAGGTGCAAAGATGAAAGGCAGAAAACACAAGATGTTCTGGAGATGATGAATTAACTTCTCGGCTAAGGTAGATATTTTAGGGGAGGGATTTAGGGCCTACAATGCCAAAAAATTCATCAGAAATTTCAAGTGGAGATCCTGTAAGAACATGGGGTTTGGATGAGGGCTTCTAAGTGGCCTCTGCCCAGATGGCAACAGCATTTCCAGGGACAGACACTCGATAAAATCGAGGAACTGGGACCACATCAAGGCCTTAAAGAAGGCACTGAGGATTGGAGCAGTGAGGGACCTGAGAAGGAACAGGAGGCAACTGGGGCATGCCAAGGTGGGATTACTCCCAGCAGCCCACAAACCAAAATCCTAAACAAGAGGAGACAGAGCTGGCACAGTGGAGAAATCCAAAGATATAGCTGCTGACATCCAGAATCAGATTTGGGCTCTGGGCTTCATCTGTCAGCTCTGTCATTACAGTGGGACATGCACTGGGAGGCAGTCACAGTATTGGGCAACGGCCTCCTATCCCTCAGACAAAGAACATGCAGAGTTGGTGAAACAGATAGTGGCTGGATCAGGCTTGCCTGCACCTGGGCTTCCTGTTTGGGCCTAGTAGACACTGGATGTCCTGCGGGAAGAAGTGGTACAGAAATCCCTCCAAGCTCAGCAGGTGTCCCCTGCCTGAAAGTAAACCCAATGAGAGCTGCCTAATCTCCCCACGTTCTAGGCCAGAACCATCTCTGTTTACAATGTCTCTTCTGCATTTCCCACCCCACATTAAGGCAAATCAGACTTCTCAGAGGTCTACTTCGTTCTGTTCTACACACATGCAGCTATCAACCCAAGCCCTACTGATCTTAGCACATATTACTCTGGAAAATAAAGCACCATACATGCATACATACACACACACTCTTACAGACCGTACAAGGGTGCCTGAATATAAGACCAAGGCAGGTAGACATTACTGGATAGGCAATGGAGAGCATAGCATTTTAAGGGCAATTATGATTAAAGCTCTATGCAAAATGCCTTGCAATATTGCCCTCAACAAACAACTTGAATGACCACAGTTTTCTCATCCTCTGCTTGGGTCACAGCAATATACAATTTAAGATTTTGAACAAATTCTTGCTGCAAAGGTTCAGAGAGCTGCACATTTTATCAGAATGCTCACAGACAAGCCATGAGACTAGAAAATTATGGTTTGGAATAACAGAGAAGGGTGATAAATTTCAGTGGCCTTTCATAAATCCAACATGATGGCAACACAAACGAGTAAAGCTGAAATATCACCTTGTGCTCTCCCACTGTAACATGGGAAGGTAACTGTGGAATGGTCCAGCAAAGCTGATGAAACCAATTTTGCCACTGCAACTTTTATTGCTTATGAGAGAGCACCTTTATCCCTCAAAAGCCACACAATACTAAAAAAAGAAAAAAAAACCTCCATATAGCAGAAGTATTTTAGATAATTATACATGAAATAAAAGCAAATGAACTAACTAGTAATTCCAAATACTTGAAAATCAAAACTAGAAAATAAACATGTTGATTTTTGAAATCCAGTGATCATATACTTCAGAAAATACTTTGACTAAAATTGCTTTTTCTTTTATTGGAGTCATTTGGGTGGCAAGAAATTTTAACTGCTCTTAATAGAAAGATGGAAAAGGTTGCAATGAAACATAGAACACTTTTAGAAATAATCACAATGTAAGACAGGTAGTGCCCATGGTACCCAGGAAGGCCCTCCTCCACGTGGGATATTACATCAGCTGTTGAAGCAGTCTTGCACTTGAAGCATTCAACAGACCTTGAAGACAACTGTTCACAGTTTTGATTAAGTAGGAGAATTGGTATAAACACAGATTGTTTATTTCTACCAATCTCTTCTGCTAAAAAAAAAAAAGTTCCTGAAATGAGTCAATCTGTATTTTTGGCCTGAGTGGGTGCTTTATCCAGATCAGTGATTCCAAAACATCAAACTGGTGCCAGACTGGCTTTCCCTGATTCATGGGACAGACTTCTGAAAATGGAAATTTCTGGCCTGCTTCTATACTCTCCCCTACCCTCAAACCCAGTCTGGTTTTATATGGGCCTTGGCGAAGTTTAGCAGATTTTTAAAAATGACTGAAGTTTTAAAAACCACTTATCTAGAGGGCAACAGGTAGTTCACAATCATGGAAGAAGCATACGATCTCATGAGGAACTATTAAAAGGGACAGAGCTAGGGACAGGTAGACACCAAGCTGTGTTTCTTTGTCTTCCTCAAGCACAGAGCTTACCTGCATTGCTCAGCCACCCTTCCCGTTAACTGAGGCTGTATGACTGAGTCCTGGCCTTGCAGTGGAGAGAGAAGAGCTATGCGCCCTCAGTCAGTCTTCCAGGGTGGCTGCCTTCCTTTGCCAGTCAGCTTCTTGGCCTCAGCAGATAGCTGTGGGATGCTAGAGGAATATCCACAGCACATGAGGAAACAGTCCAGGTAGCTGGGTGAGCATATGCAACAGAGCTGTAACTACCACCGACCTACCACTGGACGGCCAGGTGGACGGCAGTCAACTCTGATATTAACTCACTGAGACACAGGGATTCTATCTCAGCCATTTGCTTACTCTCGAGAACACAACTACCTTAACATTTTGAGGGGACTTTGTGGTTGATTTAGCAATTCAAAGACATAAGAAAATAAACTCATATTTAGCTAAAAGAGATAGGACGACAGGTCATTGTTAACCTTTCAAAGAAATTCTGACATGAGCTTGTTTTTCTGTGGTTTTCTTCTTCCTTTTCAAAGTAGAATGCAAGGAAGGGAGAAAAAAGCAAAAACATCTGGCTAATTGTGAGCTCTAGCTAATAAAATTTTAACTTAATAAGTTTGTATAACAGTTACAGGAATACAGATGAAATGTAGCAACTAATAAACCTAAATTGTTGTAAAAGTCCAAATGGATACAAAGTCAGTCTGTGAAAATTTAAGGCTTAGTAGAATCACACAATCCATAGAGTATTTAAAAGGTCATGATATTTACTTATTGATATAAAAAATCTGTAGGAGGAAATTCTCCCACTGAGTTCATCATTGTCATTACTGTGGGGGAGTAGCTAGAGCATGACATTCAGAGGACAAGGTCAGGAATCAAATTCAGGTCCAGCCCCCCACCTCTCTGCTTACTAGGAGGAAAGTCGTAAAAACATTCTTCCTCTTCAACATCAGCACAATGGTGATGTCCCTGCCTACTGCATTGCCTGAGGACATGATCTAAGTAGGCACCACACCATCTCTGAGGGGTCCATGGGAGGGGCAAGAACTGGGCCATGAGACCTGTAACCCACGTCAGGGTGCGCAGCCTCAACACCTAGCCCCTGACACCAGCCTCCTGCTAGTGTGAACCTCAGAGCCTACACTGAGCAGATTCTGGTTACCCATGTGATAGACTGGGACTTTGTTTCCTGGCTTTGGGGCATCTGGGAAATGCCCTGTGGATGAGTGTGCTTGCTTGCTTGCTCTCTCTCCCACCTCCCCTCTTCTCCCTATCCAACAGGTGAATACACTTTTTCAAAAAATGTTCATGAGGGCCTGGCACAGTGGCCTAGCGGCTAAAGTCCTCACCTTGAACGCACCAGGGTCCCATATGGGCGCCGGTTCTAATCCCGGCAGCTCCACTTCCCATCCAGCTCCCTGCTGTGGCCTGGGAAAGCAATCGAGGACAGCCCAAAGCCTTGGGACCCTGCACCCATGTGGGATACCTGGAAGAAGTTCCTGGATCCTGGCTTTGAACCAGCATAGCATCGGCTGTTGTGCTCACTTGGGGAGTGAATCATTGGACGGAAGATCTTCCTCTCTGTCTCTCCTCCTCTCTGTGTATCTGACTTTCCAATGAATAAATAAAATCTTTTTTTTTAAATTCTCATGAAAAAATTATATTGAAAGGCAAATTTAGTTTGATGCGGAAAACTGTAAATCCGGGCACAGTTTTCCAGAACATACATTTTTCATATATGTTTGATCACATCTAACACGCTAGAAATGTTTAATAATTGTGCATTAATACTAACACGGTCATACCAATATCATCCTTTTTTAGGACAGGTGATTATCCCACCGAAAAGCAAGATCTTGACAACTCAACAGCCATGGCTACTATGGTTTTGAGCTGTTTGATCACAAACAGAAGCTCCAGGGAGCTAGTGGCCACCACGCTTGGGCTTCTCTGGACGTGAACCCTGCGCTTTGACAGGACAATTAGCCGGCTATTGTCTGTGTCTCCGAAACCTGTTTCTGCCAACCATGAAGATCAGTAAATGCCCAGCAAGGATCAACGGTGCTTATAGCTCCTCTAAAATTGGGAACACTCTCCCTTGCTCATGTCGAGGCACTGCCCCTGCCCTCGCCACCCCCAGTCCTGAGCCGCTGGTCTCAGCCATTTGGAGGTACTGGAGCCCTTCCCACTAGTACCCACCTCAGAAACGTGTTGCCCCTGGCAGCAATCAATGCCAGTCTGTCAGGGAGTGTCTGCCTGCCTGTACCTGGCTGCCCCAAGACAGCAGTGTGAGCCTGCCACCTCACTTCTTTTGATAAGCTACTGAGGAGACACAATGTCTTCCCCAGTTTTCTAAGTTTTAGTTTGAAAATTGAATTCGGGAACTTGTCAACGCTGACAGCCGAGCTTTAAAATTCAGTTCAAAGACAATCTGCTTGTACTTTATAAAATCCATCTTCTGACTTCAGAGCAAGGGGATTTTTTCAAGATCTCCACTATGTAGGGAATGAAAAACTTTAGTTTTTCCTTCTTTCCAATTAAAGTTGGGTTCTTACAAAAAAATCACATTGTTTTTTTCCTCTTCCTACACCAGTTCTTCTCCCCTAGACCACCTCTTTCAGCAAACCAGAATTTAATCCCACATTTCCAAAAGCAAGGCTGGGATTTTTGTGCTGTAAAGGCAGCACCTCCCCCATCAGCAAACACCAAGGATAAAAATAGCTAACACGGCATTAATCACCAAGAACTGACAATGTTCAAGTGACAGGATGCATGACACTCGAGGCTTCAAAAATAATAATCAGCAAGGCCTAAGAAAGAAATCACTCCATTCTCTAAAGTTACAAAAGTCACCGCTGGCAGCAGGCCCTCCATCAGAGGCTATATTGAGAGGTAAAATTACCAGGATTCAAAGGGATAGGTCGAAACCCTAAACATGGCAGGAAACCAAAGGTAAAGCCACGATCCAATGACAGATGGCAAAGACCTGTCAATGCCTGGGAAATTACACCGTGAAATTCGTTTCTGACATTTCCTTCACACAAGAATAACAGGACCCTGAAGTTAAACAATGACATTCTGAAAGGAAACACCTCGGCGGGTGACACTTCTTGCATAGTTCAGCCTCCAGGGCATACACCCAAACCAGAATTTCATATCGCTCAGGTGTGTGTGGGAGGAGGTGGCTGGGAGGACCGGAGCGGGGGAGGAAAGCAGAGAGTGCCAAGCAAGTCAGGGAGCCAGGGGGAGAGCTTATCTAAGCAGGAGGAGGGGTGACAGTTTACTTCTGCTCCTTCCCCAAGGACCTGAGCTTTCACTTCATAGATTTTTTTCCCCCAAAAGTGACATTTGAAAGGTGCCACAACCACCCATTCATTTGGGTGCTGCTTGGCCTTCAATGTAGTATTGCAACTGAGAGTTCATGCTGGGGTGGAGGGCGCTGAGATGTTTTCATAAACACTAAGGTAGCCAGACAGCTCCCACTGTCCAGAAGACCCAGTTGAAAGCAGGAAGCACTAAAATTAGCACTAAAATGCTAATTCTATCACTCAGGCTCAGGGGGAGCACAGGCCCAACTGTAGCCTTCCAGACAGTTCCATTTCATCTGAGCAGGAAGGCAGGAAAAGGAGAAGCAACCTTGTGATTTCCAGAACAATCCAATGTACATTTGGGGCACACCGGGGGCCGGGGAATTACATTGAGGTGGAAGCTGTTTCCATTTTACCAACATTGAAAATAATAGAAAAAAATTTTTTTTCATAGTAATTAGGAACTCAAGAAAAATCCAGCCCCATCAAATTCCAAAGGCAAGCTCTCAGTCTCAGTTGCTAGTAATTTCTGTCACTTTAGTTTCCTTTGAGTAGTGATCATTATTACTTTTATTGAGATTTAAAGTCTCAAAATGGCTTTAATAATGGATTTTAATTGAGGACCACTGCATACTAGAAATAAATCTCCAAAACATAAAGGTTTTATCAGATTTTCTATCTTATTACAGCGTAATACAACACATACACACTTTACCTCCCAACACTCCAATTGGTTTTTTTTCTTTAGTAAACACAACTGCTTGCAATTCCAGGTGATATTGAATGGCCCAGGTGCCCCGCTCCCTGGCTCCCTCATACTCAAAACTGTTCCAAAACAGTGACTGCAGACAATATCTTATTTCCCGATGTTCCTTCCCATCTGAACCATCAGACAGCAGAGACTGAGTTCCCCCCGTGAGGCTCAGAAACACAAAACAGGATGTTTAATTTGTTTTAAGTTTCCAATGCAATTTACCGGAGACAAAAATAAAATACCATGGCATTTTGCTGGCATCCTAAAAAAGAAAAGAAAAGAAAGCCTCTCTTGGAAGTACAATGAACCTCATGAGATCTCAAACATGAATCTTCTATTTGTATGCTCACATATTTTTTATGATTCTGTTCACCGAAGAACAGTTTAACATATTCCAACCCATGCACTCAGCAAAGAGAAGCTTCCAACAGAACAGGTCTTTCAGGAGGCAGCCCCCAAGGTCTCCAACCACTAAACAGACTCAACCAACTGCCCTCAGTCCTCCTTTCTAGCCTCAGGAATGAGACCAGCCTGTTCACAGCCTCATCCTAATTCAAAAAAGTTTCTCCTGTTTAATGGGATAGAGCACCAAGCTTGGCATCAGCCCCGAGTTTAAAAATCCTTAAAGAAAACTTCCATGCCTGTGTGTAAGGTTCTGCCAACTATGCTCTCATTATTTTTAAATGAAGCTTGAAATGAGGATGATGTTTTTAAAAGAAAAAAAAAAAAGCAATGTTATCTTCAGTCCCTAGTTTAGGCAAATTTGCTTTTTTGCATGATAGCCCAAGGAGGTCAAAGACAGGCCAGTGTTTCAAACACTGTAGGTTATGCATTACTATTTTTAATCACACTTTGTAGGTTTTGCACTTCATCTATTGTTGCTGACAACCTATCCTGGAAAACTTTATTTCCCCACTTAAAGCAAGCTCCCAGGCAATCTGGTTGACCTACTGGTTTTCCCTTACAATAGTGGCTTGGTCAGGACAGGGTACCCCCAAATGTGTGGAATTCTTTCTCTCTTCTGTGGCTTCTGCTTGCTCTATCTTGACCCTCAACCACAGGCTACTTACTCAACAACTGTCTCTAGGACATATACGGCACTACTCATTTATAGGATGCCA